GTGTCTGTACTCTTGTCATTGCGCTCATGTTTTCCCAGCTCAACTGACAATGCCAACAAACAATGTGAAGCCTGCCCTTTGGAAACTTCGATTAACTTTAATTTGAAGCTTTGTACTTGTCAACGTATATAGTTCATCTTCGTTCACTGAATAATAAGACGAGCTATACAGAAAAAAAAAACCTGAGTTTTCTCTGACCTCATTTTAAAGGCCTCTGGAGGTTTCGTTTACTCTGCTATGGGTTTCTTGGATAAAGGATTCGTCGGAGTGGTTGTCCTTATCATACAAACGTTCTACCCCGATAGCCCTGAAGGGTATGTATTATCCTGGATGTCGTGTTCGTTGATTAGCTACCACCGTGACATTCACTTTAATTTTCTTTAATTTCTTACGCCCCGTTCACACTACGCCGGAGAAATTTGAAAACGCAGCTTTATTATTACGGTTAAGCCTACCGTTCACACTAATCCGTCACGAAAACGGAGCTTTTCAAAAACTTTTTCCAGCTGGGGGAATTTGAAAACGCTGGCTTTGCGTTTTAGTATGGACCGAAAACATTTTGAAAACGGAACTCTTTGAAAACGATGGCATCGCGATAATGATGTAATTATTATCCTGGCCGAGTTTCCCGGCTCTCAAGCAAAAATCCAAAATGACCGGTGATTGTTACGTTTTCAGATTTCTCCGGTGTAGTGTGGACGGAAAACATTTGATGCGTTTTCAGAGTGAACACACTGTTTTCAAATTTCTCCGCGTAACGTGCACGGGGCCTGTTTTTTTGACCGTGAGTTTCTACTCGAAACACTTAAAAAATGACATTTTCGGTGCTTCCAAAATATGGCGATTGTGACAGTGANATCCGTCACGAAAACGGAGCTTTTCAAAAACTTTTTCCAGCTGGGGGAATTTGAAAACGCTGGCTTTGCGCTTTAGTATGCACGGAAAACATTTTGAAAACGGAACTCTTCGAAAACGATGACGTCACGATAATCACGTGATTTCCCTGCCCGAGTTTTCCTCAAACACAAATCCAAAATGACCGGTGATTGTTACGTTTTCAGATTTCTCCGGTGTAGCGTGGACGGAAAACATTTGGTGCGTTTTCAGAGTGAACACACCGTTTTCAAATTTCTCCGCGTAACGTGCACGGGGCCTGTTTTTTTGACCGTGAGTTTCTACTCGAAACACTTAAAAAATGACATTTTCGGTGCTTCCAAAATATGGCGATTGTGACAGTGAAGTTGTAAAGGAAGTGTCAGGATTGTGACTGCCCTTGAGCAGGTGAGAAGGTGCAGAGAGGAGAAAGTAAAACTGCAGCTACAGAGTAGAGTTGGCACCACTATACAATTGAATACCTACATCTTTCATCTTTTGAACGATTGTTAGGCTTACATGAAGATATCATAAGACAAAATATCAGGATATCAGCATGCACTTTCAAAATCAATGAAAAAAGCGTTTTATGGACACGAAATGGTAACACAAATTATTATTTCCCATTTGACCATATATTTTCGTCATTTTTTTCAGAGTGATGTGCGAGGAGTGTAACAGTTATGTACGTCTCGTATTTACCTTGGCACCTGGGATATCAGC